CAATTCCTCGGGGCATTGTTTCTGGATGGGCTGGTGGGGTTATGCGAAGCGTCTAGAATTGCACGCCTGAGGTGATCCAGAGATCTTTTGTAAATCAATATGGTTGACGGCCCGTGATCTGGTGTCAATAAATATTTTGGGCGGGGCGGAGCAAGGCAGTGAGGACCAAAAAACCAAACGACACCACCCCACCCCACGACACCACCACCCCAGCACGGCAACAAACTCGAGCAACAATCCCACCAGCCCTCTGGGCGTAATTGGTCCAGGGCGTTTCCTCTTCCAGCTCCCGTCTTCCCCTGCGGGGAGGGGCTTGCCCCTCCCCCTACCCCCTCCCCTGGACCTGGACGGGGGGTTTTCGCGAGGGGTTGAAGCGTCCAAGATGGCCCAAGATGGCTCCGAGAGCGCCTCGGAGAGCCCAAGATGAGCTCCAAGATGGCTCAAGATAGCCTAAGATGCCTCAAGATGGCTCCGAAGGTGCTCCAGGAGGCCTCAAGACCGCCCCAAGACGGCTCCAAGAGGCCAAAGGGCTTCCCAAGGAGGCCTCCAAGAGGCCGAAATCCTTCAAACACCAAGGACAACCAATGATTTGTGCCTTCTCGCTTTCTCTCTTCCGATGGCCATTCGAGGCCTCAAGATGGCTCCAAGATGGCCCAAGAGAGCCCCAAGAGGGCCCCAAGAGAGCCCCAAGACGGCCCCAAGAGTGCCTCAAGAGGGGTCCAGGAGGCTACTTTTGGGGCTCCCGATGGGGGGGGCGTAATTGAATCTCCCCTCTTTTTTGATCGATCTCCTCCAAGATGGCCCCAAGAGGCGCCCAGGAGGCCTCCAAGAGGCTCCCAAGAGACCCCCAAGAGGCCCCAAGAAGCTCTCCGAGGCACCCAAGACGCTTTAAGAGGCGTCCAGGACCGCCAAGAGGCCGCCAAGACGCTCCAAGAGTGCTGCCCACTTCCCTGATCGAGGCAATTCCTCGGGGCATTGTTTCTGGATGGGCTGGTGGGGTTATGCGAAGCGTCTAGAATTGCACGCCTGAAATGATCCAAAGATCTGTTGCAAATAGATATTGTTGAAGGCCCGTGATCTGGTGTAAATAATTATTTTGGGCGGGGCGGAGCAAGGCAGTGAGGACCAAAAACCAAACGACACCACCCCACCTACGGCCCCACGGGCATGAGCATATGCCACGAATTCCGGCTCGGGCTTTTGCGTGGTGTACGCAACGGCCCTCGAGGGGCCAGGGCGCAGCATGGAGGGTCGTAGGTACGGTGGTGTCGTCTGTTTTTTGGGTCGATGGTGGGTGCGTGGTGGCGCTCACAGGCCCCAAGGCAACCTGAACACAATCAGCAAAACGTGCGGATGTGTTGTCTGCAGCCTCCAATTCGAACCGAAGCAGAGCTGCTCTGGCTCCACCTCTTTTGCTCAAGACCCGCTTGGCCAACTGCGAGGTTGGCTTCTACCACGCAGCCATTCGAGCGGAATTTTAACACGTATTGCCTCGAGCGCATTTCGTACACACATGCGCGCACTTTGCCGCAACGCCGCACATTGGGCTCCAGCCTTGCAATAAAACAAACAACGGCGGCCGGAAACGGCAACACAAACGGCTCCGGTATTGGAGCCGGAGCTGGGACCAAAAACAAAAACGACGGAACCGGCACAACAAAAAACGACTGAACCGGCAACATAACTGCAAAACGGAACCTGTGAAACAAAAACCGCCGTTGTGTTTCCAAGGCCCACTAAGGCTCAGGCCCGTCCAATACTTCTGGGCGGCCACTTTTTTCATCACACGTTCAAGGTCACCGGAACTTTGCGCATCGCGCCCCGCGATGCGCGGTTATCTTCGGGCACTCCCGCCACCGCTCTGGAGAATGGCGCCTCTCCAACCCCCGCCGCCGCTCGCGAGGCGCGATGATGTTTTGGGGAAGCGGAGACATACCCATACCGCTACTCCCTGGACTTTTCCCGGGGTGCAGTTGGGCCAGGATTCCGAGGATGTTCCAAGTCGTGGCGACGAGAGGCCTCCAAGACGAGCAGCGATGTGGGCATCTTGGGCGCGACCCATGGTCGGGAGATTCTGTTTCGCGCGTCGCGGCGGCGGCCCCGGCGACGCGCTATGCCTCGCAAGCGGATGCGGTGTCGCTCCGCTCCGCGGGGCGGGAGGCTGGGAAGCGCTTGGGACTTGCGCGCTCGGGGGCTGGGAACTGGATCGCGTGTCGCGCCAAAGCGTGGCTGGCCCGCCTTTTCGACTGGACTCGGGGTGCGTCAGGAAGGAATCATCTACAAGGAACAGGAGTGGAGGGAGGGGAGGAGGCAGAGGAGGAAGAGGGGAGTGGAGGGGAGGAAGAGGGGAGGGGGAGGAGGAGGAGACAAGACGAGACGAGACAAGACAAGACAAGACAAAACAAGACAAGACAAGACAAGACAAGACAAGACAAGGCAAGACAAGACAAGACAAGACAAGACATCGCACTGGAGCTCCCAGAGCAATGACTCCTACAATTGTGGGCTCTGCGCGCTGCTGTGGCCGCTGGGTGCGCGATTCGACCACGGACGGCCCGTCGGGGGCCGCCCGCGCTGCCCCTGCCGACCGGCCCCCCCGAGAGAAAAGGCGCGCGGCCTGGAAGATGCCCGGCTGCGGGGGCCCAACACTGTCAGGCCTCGCCTCCTGGGACAAACACGACTGGGTGCGCGGAGGACGCGTCCCCCCCCCCGCCGATGGAGGAAAGGGGAGGGGGGGGGGGAGGTGCACGTCCGAGGAGCGCGTCGCCAACGACCCCCGACCCCGTCTTCTTCCCCTTGTTGCGGCCAGCAGGGGCCGCCGTCGCATTTGCGAGAACCATACGGGCACTGGGGGGAGGCCAGGATGAGAGCACGCGGAAAATACATCGGGTGGGCGGGGCAAGACTTCCCGGGAGACCACCCCCCTGTTGTATGAGTCCCCCGAGGCGGGCCGAACTCGCTAGCAGCGTTTGCTCACGGCCCGAGACCAAGCGGAGGGCAAATCGCCCAAGACTCACTCTCGAGCCCCAGGCTGGACGGCGGCACCGCCGCTTCGCGTGCGAGCTGATGCGGGACTGCTCCTGGGATCGCCTCGCACTTCTCCACCCTCAAGATCTATTCCGTGACTATCGGCCACAGGATCCTCGCCGTCTCCGTGTCCTGAGCATTGAAGCTCGCCGAGAGGACGCGGACGCCTCCCTTGTCGACCGTCATCGCCGCCTCGCCCCCGCGGGGCCGACGCGCCTTCTCGCAGCGGCGCTGCAGGACGACGAGGCGCCCAGCTCCAGAGGGCTCTGCGCGGTGACGATCTCGTCCCAGAGCTCACGCACGGCCCGTGCGGGGACGGCCCGTGCGGATTCCTCCCCCTCCTCCTCCCCCTCCTCCTCCTCCCTCCTCCTCCTCCTCCTCCTCCTCCTCCTCCTCCTCCTCCTCCTGCGTATCCCACCTCGTGCGGGGACGGCCCGTCGAGAGCGATGATGCCGATGGCGCGCTGGATGACGATCACGACCCGCACGGCGTGCGGCGCGCCGCTGGCCTTTTCCAGTCGATGTCCTCCTCCCCGTCCTTCTTGGCGCTGCACCGTGGCCTTGGCATCGTCGTCGTGCTTCCTGGAGGCGCCGCGCCCAGGCCGTCGGGGCGCTCGCCCACGAACAAAAAAAAGGCGCGGACGACCACTCCCTCGAGCATCGCCACCCTCCCTCTCCAAAATGAACGACAACTTCGCGACCGAATTGGCGAGCGTGTCACCCGCCTTCTTGTCCTCCTTGCCTTTCTTCGCCGCACCGCCCCGGATCGTGGGGCCCCCGTCCGCCTCGTCGGCAGCCCGAGCCGGAAGAAATGGAGGAGGAGGAAAAGGAGGAGAAGGAGGAAGAGGAGGAGGATGAGGAGGAGGAGGAACAGGAGGAAGAGGAGGGAAAGGAGGAAGAGGAGGAGGAGGAAGAGGAGGAGGAGGAAGAGGAGGAGGAAGAGGAGGAGGGGAAGGAGAGGAGGAGGTGGAGGAGGAGGAGGAGGAGGGGAGGAGGCGGAGGGGAGGAGGAGGAGGAGGAGGAGAGGAGGAGGAGGAGGAGAGGAGGGAGGAGGTGGAGGAGGAGGAGGAGGAGGGGTAGGGGTAGGAGGCGGAGGAGGAAGGGGAGAAGGAGTGGGAGGAGCGACGCCGCGCGCGACGCCCCGCGCCCCGCGTCCGGGCGGAGTTCCCGCTCTTAGCCACGGCGCACGGTCGGCAACCACACCCCGCGCGTCTGCGCTAGAGGGACGCGCCGCGGCACGTCAGGCCGCGCCAGCATTGGTGCTCAAGTCAAACCTATGCCCCTGACAAAAAAATCTCCAGGGGATCAGAAGTTTGAAGGCTCCTAGGGGGCGATGGATTTTCATCCCCGCAACTCGAATGTACGGCTGGACGGTGTACGGATGCGCTGTGTACAGAATGTGTTAACAGGATTAGAGAAAATGGTCATCGTAGTAAATGGCGCCGCAGCAGTCAATGAGAAAAATCGTGAATGGCAATCGCAGTCGAAGCAGTAGTAGTAGTAGTAGTAGTAGTAGTAGTAGTAGTAGTAGTAGTAGTAGTAGTAGTAGTAGTAGTAGTAGTAGTAGTAGTCGTAGTAGTAGTAGTAGTAGTAGTAGTAGTAGTAGTACTGGTAGTAGTAGTAGTAGTAGTAGTAGT